CTAAACAATTATGTTTTCGTGTTATAATCTGTAGCCATTATAGAATGAAAATGGCACAATTTATATTTATTTCCTAATTTTTTTATGTGGTTACAATATTGGTCAAATTGACCAAACCCGTACAGAGAATTGTTACTGAAACTAACAGATAAGATATAAAGTTTATTCTGAAGAAATGTTTGATAACTATCTGGACATTATAAAGATTTTGCATGTGAAATTTGAAAATTTTCTGATGCAAAAAGTATTTTGAATCTTAAAATGAAAATTACTTTGCATGTTGGATAGGCAAAATGAGAAATAACTTGAGAGCATCCACACCCAGGGAAGAATATACTAACTGGGGAAGCTGACAGATCCATCCAGTAAAGGTAGAAGGAGAGAGGTCCCTGGAAGAAGAGGCATCTCAGAGAAGGAACAGATGAAAGTGGGGAGCCTCAAAGGGAGATGTCAGTGATAAGAAAAAAAAAAAACAGTCCAAACAAAACACAGGAGCTGATCCAAGTTTGAACAATCACAAAGGTGAGAGATAGAAGGAAGGAAAATAGGAGGGAAAGTGTGGATATCCTCAAAAGTCTAAGGAAGGGAAAACTAGTCCAGATAAAGGAGTAAATATGTATGATGGAAGAAAGTACTAGAAGCATCAATAGCATAGACCTCTGAATGACATCAGCCACATGTGAGAAGGAGGAGGAAAGAAGTCTTGAGAGAAAGGTTGTACAAAGAGCAAAAAGCCAATGGCTCGAACGAGGCATGCAAAACCACATTATGGACACAGTCAAGCAAGGGAGTTGGGAGAGGAGATTGGGGAAGAAGAAATGAGCAGAATAGAGTGGAGAGGACAGGGAAAGAAAATGCTCTGTGATACCAGGAAAGGCAAAATGTAGTGGACAACACTGCCTGATAACCAGCAATGGTGGAGACTGACAAACCATGATCAAACATCCAATGAAAATGGGCAGAAAAGTGATTCACAGGAGGATGACTAGGAAGAAAGAAGTGATGGATGGACCAATGAGGAAAGACCCACCATGTCCTTTGACAGACAGAGAGAGTAGAAGGGTGATAGGAATATGAGAAGAAGAAGGCTAAACAATTGGATAATGTGATCTAATGGGTAATAGACTGGACAAATCCTACACATGAAGATGTGAGGTTGAAGAAAGAGTGAGGGGATATTGGATATAGAAATGGAGGTCTGAACACCAAGCGAAGAAGCAGAGGAAACCAAGGCAGAGTTGGCCAAAGTAGGACATGAGAAGGAGTGTGGTGTATGGAGGTGAGAACCTGATGGAGGAGGTGAAGAGGAAAATAGGCATATAGAAAAAGGTGAGACCAATCCTGGCTGAAAGCATCACCAGCCAGAGCCCAAGGATTAGGAACAGGGACCAGAAGAAGGAAAGCTTGGAGATAAGAGAGGTGGAAAACGCATCTATGAAGGGCATGCCTAACCAAGAACAAACCCCACAAAAGACCAGAGAATGAAGTGATCACACCAAGGATAGAACATGACAAGCAAAATAACAAACCAAACACGAATGATTCCAGAAGAGTAGGTCCAATGCTTGAAAGCAAAGGGTCCTGAAGAGAGTGCCCCCTTGACAGTTGATGTAAGAAATGATTATGAGAATGTCAGTGGATCATGCCCGATTGATCCACCATTTGAGGCAGGAAATGAGAACATGCCCAATGAACAGCAACAAGTTCGAACACACTGATGTGGAGTGAATGCCAGAAGTCATGTTGTTGTCCAAAGATGTGCCTCAACCTGAAAGGGAAGCATCAGTGATGAGATGGAAAACCGGATTTGGGGGTGGAAAAAGAATGTCAAAAACAGTATTGGCACAGTCCTGCCACCATGACAATTCCTTGAGTAGAAGAGAGAGGAGGTTCACAACTGAGGACAATGGAACCCGGAAAGAAACCATTGGATACGCAAGGTCCATAGGCTATTCACAACCAAGGAGAAAGAACATTGGCTGAAGGGTTAGAAGCATGTGGTAATTCACAACATGTTGAACAAAGGCTGCAGCAATAAAGAAATGCAGAAATAAAGCCTGTGTGTGTAACATCATCACTCACACAGGACTAAATAGAAGTCACTGTCACTTGAGAATTCATGATAAAAATTAAAGCTATTGATTTGTTTGTTTGTTTGTAGTTAAGCACAAAGCTATATAATGGGCTATCTGTGATCTGCCCACCCTGAGTATCAAAACCCGGTGTTTAGCATTGTAAGTCTGCAAACATACCATTGTGCCACTGGGGGGTGAAAGCTTTAGAAACAAAACCTAAAGAAAACAAAAATCAAAGTTTCATTAATAAATGCATATCTCATCAAATTAAACTTACGTGAGAAATTTGAACATATCTGTTCAATGCAATGCTGAGTAAAATAATGAAGTTATCAAATGTGCAAGTGCATAGAGGGAGCAACTGTACATGGAGGTTGTGTCACCCTCCTGTTGGTGGAGAGCTATTGTCGCATGATAATGTCATTATGCACCAACACAGTTCACATTAAACACATGAATTTAGATTACAGTGAGCTCAAGGCTAGTGGCAAGCAATATTCATAAGCAGATGCCAGGGAAATAATATTTCAGTGTGAGTAGGTGAGTTATATCAGAATACAATTTTATATTATTTAAGTAAAAATTATTTTATGTCATCATGTGGATGAAATTTGTCAAAGTAAGATACAGAGTTACTGTTTCTATCTCAAACAATCCAAAATGAACATGTTTATACAAGTAGTATGGTGAAATAATTCATTCATCTATCTTATTTAGCATTTGTAAAACCCAAAAATAATTCAAACACTTCCTAAAGAAGCTGAATTACCCCACTTCTTTTTCTAAGTCACAGCCAAAGACACAAAATGTCTAAATATAACTTCAGTGTATCAATTCAGTTCTGTAAAATCACTAGCTGATTGAAACTGCCACCTGAAGCCTAAACAGAGTAGTTATGATTTCTTTGACCTTGCTTATAAGTGTTTCAATATGTTCACCGCTTTATATTCTGTTTTTAAGTAATGTAAATTGTTGGTGTTTTAGATCACCTTAAAAATATAAATGTTAAGATAGTTATCAGACTTAAAAGTGTCAAAGTAATACCCCAAGAGAATATAGCAGCAAGTTAAATACCCCATTTTGTAAGTTCCTCCACAATGTATTTTCAATTTACCAATAAAAAATGTCTTGAGAGTTATAGTTTACTGAGTATGATGGAATACAAGTAAACAGTGGCTGGAAATGTTTTCTTTGATGTATAAAATCAGAGCTGTCAAATATTAAAAAAACAAAACAATGAAACAAACCTGATCACTTTTAACTGTGATCCACTGGAGCTTGTCTTTGCTTAACAAGTATTCAAACGAAAGCTCAAGAAGATGTGGGCTGCTGTTCTCTTCTTGGTTGTTAGCATTCTTTAATAAAAAAAAAACACCTTATGGAAAATATAATACATTAAGCAATTTCTTTGTTAAGTTACTAATGTCACTAATTGATTTTCTTTGCTAGAAAATCAACTGAAAACATTTATTATTGCAGAAGAACCAATAAAATTAGTAATATAGAAACATTACTATTAACAAACATCAAACTTCTGGAATATTCATCATTTAGAATAGACATAAACCATTAAAAACACAATATCAATAGATATGCTGAAAAACTAGACAGATTACTTATTAATAAGATGCAATTTTTATATGTTTCAGTATCATTTTGTGAATAATTACTAATGGTGCAACTGAACTATCAAAAATAAGCAACTGTGCAATATTCAATATCAAAAGTTAATCAAAACCTACCTTTCACACTTATAAGTAAACGTGTTTCCTGGTATCTCAATAAAAGTTGAAATAGTGTGCTCACTCTCCTCCATAGTGAACAATTTTGACCATAGAAGTTAGATATAAAAACTCAGTGTGTTATCATTATCAATTAAAGCTCCTTGTATGGAGGTATTGTATTTACTTTTTTTTTTTTACTTTAACCACAATGGTCTTTTGTTTTATTTGAAATAACCAGCAAATGAAGGAACAAAAATTCACCAAAAGTACATACACATCTGTATTATTTATGCACTTAATAAAAACAAGAGTCAATTAGTATTGTCTGAGCTCTAAGCTTCAGAGTTGATGATAATTTGGACAAGTCAAATTAAATACTGTTAGATAAGCTGCTCCAATTAGTCAATATACTTGATTAATTTCATGGAAGGACATGGACTTATACAATCATCATTCCATCAATTTACAATAGCATATGGGCAGATTTTGGCACATTTTCCAAAAGATATTCACCAAAAAGAGGAATCTACATATTGCTCTTCATCAGCATTAAGTCTGAGGGCTTATTACTCTATAAATCAGGTTTTGATACTTGAAGTAGACAGAGCAGAAGTAGGCCACTGTGCAGCTTTTTGCTTAATAACGAACAAATAAAAACTTTGTCTGTGTTATTTTATAGCTAATACAAATGGAAATAATTTGGAATTGATAACAGATCATAAAACATTTGAAAGCTTACTTAACTTAGCAATTTCTTGAGTGTTAAGTACTTGAAAATTATTAGTTACTTACTGAGGTTATAATTCTCCAACATCGGATCCTGGTTATGCGAAAACTTCCTTCTTTCACTTGATTCTAACAATCCAAACAATTCTAACATTGAATATCATACATTTAACCTATGTGATCTATTATGAAAAAAAATTACAAGAAAAGTATGATAAAAACTTAATTTACATGGCTTACTCTACCTTTTGATGTCAAGATGGACAGACAATACCTTAAACCATGTGACCCAAATATCAGTTTATGTCCAACTCAAGTTTTGTGTGATGTGTAATGCTTATAATGTCACAGATTATGGATAGTATCTGTTTTTCAAACTCTGTGTTTTTAAAGTTCATGAGAATAAACAAAATCTCAGCCCAACAGTTATTTTACAATCGTTTTTCTTTTTAAAGGCCATAAGTTTAATATAAACACAAACTTATTTGTTCTTACATCATCTTATTGAAAAGTCATTTGAATCATCTTCAAACCAAGTTGTCTGTTCAACTATCTTCTTTCTTTTTAAAAACAATATTAATTACGTTACCCTGACCTATTATCTCGACAGCTATTAGATAAAAAAAAATTTTAAAACCACTCTGACCTATTTGTTCTAGAGCACAAATATTAAATGCAGTTCTGATCTACATGTTCTACCACATCTAATATTTTCAAACATTAAAAAAATAAAAAAAGAGATCATTCCATCATCATCCTAAATGTATTTTCTTCCAAATCTACCACTTCAAAGAAATTATGAGAGTTACTACCTGAACTCGTAATTTTTGAAATTCAAATTTCAAATTTTTACTCGGGATAGTTTTGCTGTGTACATTTTTTCAGGTCAAATTAAAATTACCAATAGCATAGAATACAATGAAGCTGAAACTACCAGACTTACATTGGATGCGGGTATTCTAAAGTTGATCTCTTTTCCTCCAATGCTGATGACTACTCGTGTGTTGGGCTCAGGATAATTGCAGACACAAGGTTCAAACTGAATGTATCCATAGTGTCTGAGTGTACGAACAAGTTGTAGATACTATCAATAGGAAAAAAAATTATTTATAGACAATTTTAAAAGGCCTTTCTACATTTAACTTCAGGTTCTACCAAATGCAACAAATGAACATACAAAATTTAGATATTGTCAAATTGATCAAGTAACAAGTTATTTATAAAGTTCAGTAGGAGTTGAACAAATGTGTAAAGTATCTCTATTAATTACAAGTAATGTCAAATAGAACAAACAAATAATTAAACATTACATGTGTAGAGAATTTATACTGCCAAATGAGAATAGAAACCAATGAACATTATAAAATATATCAGGTTTAGGTATAGATAAGTAAAATAAGTTGAAATGAAGTATGTACTGTTTTTACCAATTACAGGTATTGTGAGTGCCATACATTATGTGAAAAATGTATTCATCCAATACTGTGAGCATTGTTGATTGAACAAAAATAGCAGAGAAAACATTTGTTAAATATTAATACCAGTTGCAGAACAAATAATTGAACAAAGTTTATAAAGTATCCCTACCAGTTGCAGTTTCTGGTAACAGAACAAATATGATTAAACAAAATGTGTAATATTACTAACATATCAGTTTCAGGTAATCTTGAAACAAAATGTACAGTATTTCTATTGTACCAATTTTAAGCAATCATGAAACACAATGAGTAGTGTTCCTATTATGTCAGTTTCATGTCATCATGAAATAAAATGTGTAGTGTTCCTACTGTATCAGTTTCATGTCATCATGAAATAACATGTGTAGTGTTCCTACTGTATCAGTTTCATGTCATCATGAAATAAAATATGTAGTGTTCCAATTGCATCAGTTTCAGGTAATTATGAAATACAATGGTTGGTGTTCCTATTATGTCAGTTTCATGTAAATGTTACACAAAATGTGTAGTGTTCCTACTGTATCAGTTTCAGGTAATCTTGAAACAAAATGTACAGTATTTCTATTGTACCAATTTTAAGCAATCATGAAACACAATGAGTAGTGTTCCTATTATGTCAGTTTCATGTAAATGTTAAACAAAATGTGTAGTGTTCCTACTGTATCAGTTTCATGTCATCATGAAATAAAATGTGTAGTGTTACTACAGTATCAGTTTCATGTCATCATGAAATAAAATGTGTAGTGTTCCTACTGTATCAGTTTCATGTCATCATGAAATAAAATGTGTAGTGTTCCTACTGTATCAGTTTCATGTCATCATGAAATAAAATGTGTAGTGTTCCTATTATATCAGTTTCATGTCATCATGAAATAAAATGTGTAGTGTTCCTATTATATCAGTTTCATGTCATCATGAAATAAAATATGTAGTGTTCCAATTGTATCAGTGTCAGGTAATTATGAAATACAATGGTTGGTGTTCCTATTATGTCAGTTTCATGTAAATGTTAAACAAAATGTGTAGTGTTTCTACTGTATCAGTTTCATGTCATCATGAAATAAAATGTGTAGTGTTCCTACTGTATCAGTTTCATGTCATCATGAAATAAAATGTGTAGTGTTCCTATTATATCAGTTTCATGTCATCAGGAAATAAAATGTGTAGTGTTCCAATTGTATCAGTTTCATGTAAATGTTAAACAAAATGTGTAGTGTTCCTATTATGTCAGTTTTATGTAAATGTTAAACAAAATGTGTAGTGTTCCTACTGTATCAGTTTCATGTCATCATAAAATAAAATGTGTAGTGTTCCAACTGTATCAGTTTTATATCATCATGAAATAAAATGTGTAGTGTTCCTATTATATCAGTTTCATGTCATCATGAAATAAAATGTGTAGTGTTCCTACTGTATCAGTTTCATGTCATCATGAAATAAAATGTGTAGTGTTCCTACTGTATCAGTTTCATCTCATCATGAAATAAAATGTGTAGTGTTCCTATTATATCAGTTTCGTGTCATCATGAAATAAAATGTGTAGTGTTCCTATTATATCAGTTTCATGACATTATGAAATAAAATATGTAGTGTTCCAATTGTATCAGTTTCAGGTAATTATGAAATAAAATGTGTAGTGTTACTACAGTATTATTTTGAAACAAAATGTACCCAAAACCAGTGATTCATTTAAGCACCTCTAGTGCAATAAAATAAAAACACGACCCCTAACTTTACAAAGCGTGTAACATTTCTCAAAAGACTGAGAAAATAACTGTTTATCAATCATTATTATTATACAATAATTTAAACTAGTTATACAACTTTTCAGGAATATTGCAATGGCAAATATACTATGACAACAATAGTCTGACTACAAGTTATTTTTCTTTATGAATGAGAACCTCAAATATTAGTATGCAAGACTGGTATATCTCTAAAATTGAATACCCTCATTTTAGATATAACAGAAGACATTATGGTAATAACTATACCTCTACCATAATTTAAATATTTTACCTCCTGTTTGGATCCCTTTGACTGTAGAGTAGCTAGTTGTCGCTTTGTTTGTTTATTAGTTATCACCCAGCCTTGTTCCACATCACTCACTGCTTGGACATATAGCAAATTTAGGGCTATCTTGTTACTAAGAATATCTTCATCATAACTTGGTTCCCAGTAACTGAAAGCAAGAATGATTTTATATTCCATAAGATAAACAAACACAACATACCTTTACAACTATCAAATCATATTCAGCTTTGATGAACATAAAGTGTACAAAAGGATGATTTCTATTGCTTCATATTAACAACCTTGTTGGAGACAAACATCGAAATAGTTAAAACAAAGTTAAAAACAATGTTTACTTACATATAGCTTCATGTTGTAACCAGTTTCACAGGTGCAACTAAAAGTACTACCTAAATCATTGGACAAACACATCTAAAATTATTCATAGCTGTATTACCATATACTTGAAACAGTAAGTACAGCTTACATGGAAATAATTTATTTTGTGTCATTAAAAACACTAAAGTTGAAAAAAAAAAGTTCAAAAGGAAGTTTTTTTGTTTTATTTGTCATACATTTGTGTTGGGACAGTTTGTACATTAACCTGAACAAAAAATAGCAATTAAGAACATTTTAGGCACATATAACTATTAAGTGGGAGTGTAAATATTTATGATATGCCTCTGTACTAAGTTGTATCCAATCTGATAAACTTGGGAGGTCAGAATTTAGTGGTAATATAGGTGTGAAAGTGCTTATAAAAATCCCGTTTCCAATATTACCATGCTTACACTGTAACCAATAAATTCGTAGTTTCCAATATTTTATAAGGTACAATGAGGTTTCAGTTACCATACATTACACGTGTGTGTGTGTGTGTATATATATTATCATTATTTACAAATAAATATTTAAATTTCAGTTATTTTTCTTAAAACATTCAACAATAAAAAAAAAAATATTCGGAAAATGATGATCTTCTCTACTTACAATGCTTTGAAGCTCTTTTTGCACTCGTGTGTCTTTCTTGCTAACCTTCGTCATAAGCCTTGTACAAATTCACATGTTAATGTGGAAAATAAAATAATTTTTTATACTTTATATATGCATATATGAATCCCCAAAAATTATAAGTGACTATACTGATACCACGAAAATCTATTGTAATTTACCAGGCTCCTTGACTATGCTGTCTAAAAAATATAATTTTTTCTTTGAAAAAGAGCATTGATCATAATACTTCAAACTCTCCAAGAATATAAGAGCTTTTCTCTTGTAAATAAGTTAGAAAGACTAACAGAATTATGAAGAGGAAATGTAGAACTTTTGATTGGTTATAAACTTAAAGGTATAAAAAAGCAGGCATAGATAAACAAGTCTTCTCAAATGATGAAGTGGTGGGTGGAGCCAATATGGTGGATTTGATAAATATTATGATATCTCAGCAAACAGAAAAGGTAGGAGGTTCTTATTTTATATTCTACCTTGCTAATATTGGAAATTTGTGTTTACAATTTGTATGAAACTACAGACGTCGTATTGTGAGCATCATAAAATGTAATCTGATCAAACCCAGAAGATGACACACCAGTCTGACACACAAAAATCAATATTACCATTTTTTTTTATATTTAGTTTAAAATTAAAAAATTAACTTAACTAAAACTTGAATTAAAATCTACAGTTTGATACCAAGTTTATTGATAAACATTCATGAAATAGTAGTTCAATAAAAGTTTGAATGTAAGTCTGCAAATGTGATAACATATCCTCTGACCCCTAGTTACCTGTAATGATAGGGTTGAATAACACTGAAACAAATGGACTATCCAAACTGATATAATTTTTTTTATCTTTTACCATTACAATGAAAATTAATAAGGAAGGTTGTATAGATAATAAACAGTTCAGAGAGATTTGAAAATTTAAGTAACCACACTGATGGACAACAGTTATTTTAAATTTTCAGATTAATGTCAGTGGACTCTAAAACTGCAACAAAGATCATACTGTAGATCAATACTAACTATGCACTATGTATAATAAATTGAAATTTCACAACAAAATCATCTAAGTTGTGATTAGAAATAAAACATGACCTTACTGTAAGCCATTTACATATATGTTTATGAAGATATAAAGAACATGAATTATTAACATCTCCTACTTTATAAAATTTCATCAACACACTTTGATGATTGCATTTCTCAGAATTCACTTATATTATAATTTAATATTACTATTTCAATGATTTTTACATAAGGTCAAGATATGAAGGTAATAACAGGGTAGAATAACAGAATACATGTGGCTCTCTTTTCATACTTTTAAACACAAATTCACATAATACTTCAGCTAAATGTCCAAGTGTGCTTAACTGAGAGCAAGATTTAAAGTATGAAAAAATAACAGTTATATTTTTCATCTAAATTCCCTAGCTTGAAATATACTTTTTAAGAATTCTGTACCATTGATATACTTGTTTAAAAGTACTTCACAATTTTAGGTTTTTTCACGTGACCTTAACTTGAAGTGATGATTGTAAGTGAGAACTGAAACTAGACAATGCGAGGAGAACACCAGAGAAACTATTTTTTTTACTATTATCATTATTATTTTTAGTTATACCCATTTTTTTCACATTCAAGATAATATCATTACTGATATTTTTCCTATAACCAAGTTTAACTATTAGTTTAATCATTATTTTCCTTATTATTTTATAAAACTAACAACTCATATTTTAAGCTATTTTCTACATTTGTTTTTACATTACTTACTTTTTGAGTATAAGATGTGTTTTAACTAGTAAAATAATCACAATATTTGAGCAAAATAGTAGACTGGAGAAAGAACTATAAATATTAAAGTAAGACTTTGTAAACAGTGTTACCTTTTTCTAATGACAATGCAATGTGATGAGTCTGCAGCTTTCTGAGACAGAAACGGAGCTTCAAAGTTTTGCAGTCTTCGTTCCACTGAAATAATTATGAAGACAATATTTCTCTACTGGCCTATCACAAGCCATAATTTAAGGAATGAAAGCACAAAGTACATAAGTGATAGATCAGCTTTCTAAATAAAAAATCCATTTCTACTTGAACTACACCAAATGATACTCAGTGATTTAGTAAGTAGTTATAAGTAGCCCTTCACTAACACTTAAGCCACAAGCTGTTGCTAGTCCATGAGTCAATTCTTAAGCAGTTGTCAATAATTTATCAAGGGATATTTTACTGGAAAGTTATATGTAGTCCTTCAATTGATACTTATTGTATTTGTCAGTAGTGTCTATTAATTGATAACTGGTACAGTTGTTAGTCATCCAAAGTTTTATTAACACATCCGTGAGTCTGAGTAGAAATTAACATTGGATGTATATTTTCTTGATTACTGAACCTGTGTTATGAACATACTAATATTGTAGCTATCGTTGTCACTAATGCTTAAACTAATGATGTAGTGGCTATCAGTTGTCCATCAACTGACACTTAATAGTGTCATTAGTCATTCACTTGATCCTAATAAATTAGTTTTCAGTAGTCTATCAATTTACACTTAATACAGTTGTCAGTAATGATTCAGTTAATTCTAATGAAATAGTTGTCAGTAGTCCATCAATTGACATTTGATACAGTGTCAGTAATCCTTCAACCGATACTAATGAATTATTTGTTAGTAGCCTATCAATTGACACTTAATACAGTTGTTAGTCATTCAACTGATCATTATAATGTGGTAGCTATCACTGTCATTAGTGCTTCAACTAATAATTTAGTGGATGTCAGTAGTCCATCAACTGATTCTTAATGCACAAGTTAACAACTGTAAAAATACTACGTAAACATATTTTTCATTAGTAGCTATCATTAGCCTATCAACTCAAGGTTAACATAGTAGTTATCACCAGTCTATCAATTTATTTTAATCAAGAAGTTTCCAATTCAGAGATTGTTACTAAGCTATTAATTTAATTGAGATGTTGTCATTTCATTAACCATTTTCCTATTTTCAATACACAAGAATTATCAATTTCAAAACTTTAGAAGTTGTCAAGGTCCAGAGTTTGGAATAATGACTGACATTGACAAATTACTGTAAAAACCTTGGAAATTCAGATAAGAATTTTGGAAGTTAACATTTTCCAGTATTGAAATTTTTTTCTGACAGCTACTTATCTCCTCTCACATACTAGCTTTCCCTGATTTGTGCTGCTATCTATATGAAAAATTTTTTGTTCACCATTAGCCTTCAGGCTCCCATCTACATTCATGTATTTCCATGTGGTTTTGCTGTGCTGTATAATGCAAATAAGCATGCAACAACCATCTACTAACAAGAATGCAACCCTTCAAACACAACTGACTCCCTCTGTACTGAAGTGTACATTCATCACTTCTAGATTAGGCATGAAAAGATGTACTGGAAGTGGGGAGGATGGGTGGTAAGTATCTACTATAAATACATTTTCAGTGTTGGAAACGTTAACTTATTATATGATACCTTCGCTCACCTAATAGCCAGAAGCCTACATTGAAGTGGTGGAGGTGAAAAAGTTACCTAGATGAGCCCCCTTTGGAAAGTGCCATAGGGAAGCCATGGATTGTGACACTTTACATCATGAAAGTTTAAGGGCACGCTTATGGGAAACCACACCCCTTCTGTACCAGGGTATACTCTTCACCCATATAGAAGATATGTGTCACCAAGATGGGCAGAAAAAAAGCAAGTCCAGAAATAATATATGAAAACTGGACATGTTTTATAGTGTAGAGTGGCTAGCGTATGTAAGACCATACATAGCAGCTCAACTCCAGTCCAAAACTAGGCAGCATTAGGTGTGTTTCATCTGTGCTGCAGTAGGAGGAGGATCCCAACCATATCCAACTCCATGCCAAGAAGCAGAAGGGAAAAGTAACTTCTGTTCTACCATCCTAGGCAGTGCTCATGTGTGCAAACCCTGCACACATCCAACACCAGCCCAATGGTAGGATAGGGGAAAGCAAATGTGATGGTTCAACCTCAGTCCAAAACGAGGCAGCATCAGAAATTTTTTGTTCCAGTCTGCAGTAGGGGGAAGGTCCAGGGCCAATCCAACACTAGACAACCTGCGAACTGATATTTAGGCAATGATAGTATAGGGGAAAGCCAGCTGGAGAGGTGAACTGAATGTAATGAATCACCTCCAGTCTAAAACAAGGCAGCAGTAACAATTTTTCTTCCATTCCACAATAGAAGAAGGGTTCAACATCAACAGAACTCCACCATCCTACTCTCTACTGAGTGGTATGGTCAGACTCAGGAGGAAGACTCCATAGTCCACCACCCCAGCAGCTAGGAACCGGTAAGTGGCAAGGACTCCTATACTCCACTAGTCAAAGTGGGTGAAAGCATGTTGGGCAGTCCAGAGGAATGCAACAACTTAAGAGAGTGCAATGGATGATCATGAAACCCTATGTTTAAAAGCACGCTAGTCCAGGTTTATACAACTAGGACTGGAGGGATGGGCAGCAATCCTGACACTGCTTTACTGTCAATAGTCCATGAATCAGTGCGGTCTAGATTAGGCCTCGTTAACAAAGCAATACACTATAAGGAAACCTCCAGTGGTCTTATCTAACATCCCATCTCATCAGTGAGCATTTCAGACCTGAATGGCCACTTGGTGAAGACTTAAACTTAAGTATACTATGGCAGGCACCATGTGCCACTCAGCGGGATCTTGAGATTTTAGAAATGGGCCACTGTAAAAGTAAGAGATATGGAAAAAGAACTTAACCAATCAGAGCTAGTAAGGGATATGAAGAATGGTAATGAGTGGCAAACAATATCCTGATGAAGAGTCGGCCAGATGATGAACGTAATGTGTGACAAAAGTAAGAGGTGTAGTCCACATGCCAGTCTGCACGATCTCCTCCAACAGATGACAGAAGTGAGCACCAAGGTGAAAAATTGGATGATAGATCCAGAAAAGTCGACAAAAATCCCCAACCAAATAATAAGTATAAGAATTGGTAGCAGGAACTAAAAATAGAGCAGTGATGGACACATAACAGCAAAACACCCAAGTGGGACAAAGATGATCATGATGAAGAACAAGAATAAACACAAGTGATGGATGGAAAGGAGACAGGGGTGAATGTACTGTTTCCCTCCCACACCACAGACATTTTGGCAAGAAAAGCCCAGTAAGGACAAAGTACCATTTACACTGGTAAACAAGTAGGAGGAAGAATGAATGGAATGAGAAAGAAGGAATACATGTGAAGAGATTCTGAAGCATCTTGCAAGGAACTGGACAAAACCCATGCAGGAAGAAGTGTGGATACTACTGGATATGTGAGAGAGGAATGTGGATGAAATAGGAAGGACCATGAGAGAGGAAGGGAATGAGAGGACTGGAGAAGGCTCAAGAGAGGAAAACACAGTTGAACCAGCCAATACAAATTGATGAGAAGGACCAGACATGGAGTGGTTTGAATAAGGGAAAGCACCTGGGGGAGAAAACAAATAGGAGAGTTTGGCATACATATAAGGGTTGAACCAGTCTTGACTGAACATGTCCACAGCCAGAACTGTATGTTGCTGAACAGGGGAAGTTTGGCATTTAGGTGAATGGCAAAATCATCCAGAAGGATAGAGCCTAGCTTGAAGCATACTATATTTGCCAGTGTATAAGATACCTTTACTCTTAAAACAATGCCTGATTTTAACCCTTGTCTTATACATAGGTTCAAAGACAGAGTTCCAGTAAGAATTCTCAGGTTAACAGCATATTTAATCAAAACTATGTTGTTTCTTTTACTTTTGTTGAGTAAGTGCATTGACATCGTGCCACCTACTGCATTATAATAACATATTTGTAATTGTATCATTTGTCTGGATTTTTCATAAATAGAAGTTACTTATCAGTCATACTAAAATATTGCTAATATTATATCAAAAAAGTTAGTTTCCAATTTTGTATACATGTTTTTATAGTAGATCAGTATATCTTAAGGTTTAGTATTTTTTTGGTAATAGAAAAGAAGTTCAACAGTGATGAAAGCTTTGTAAGGTTGTTTATTACTTAAGTTATGCCACATTGAGCTGTCTGTAGCATTTGAAGAGCATAAAAAACCATACTTATGGTTGTATTGATTACCCCAGAGAGCAGGTTAGCACAGTTTAGAAATAACTTCTAAGAATTTCTTTACAAAAGTAACAGCCTAGACTTTCTTGACAAAAGAGGTCTTTCTATACACCAAACCTCAAAGAAATACACTTAATTTGCTCAAAATATCCAGGGCCATCTGATACATGGGACTGCCTTATACACCAGAAAATATGGTACCTACTTGAACACCTAAGAGACTGCTCCATTGGGAAAATCCTGTGAGTCTGAGAAAGATGATTGGAGACTAGGTTCAAGGTGCCCAGGATATGACAAGCATTAAGAGAAACTTGTCGTGAGTGGGCCCAAAAAAGGAGGTCTAATGTGTGAAAACAGAGAGAACGAGACTGGCTGCCCCCTTGGTGACTGATATAAGAGAAAACAGTTGAACTGTCAGAATGGATCATGATGATACACCCACAGACCATCAAAAAGAAATTATCCAAAGCTTGATGTACCATCAGCAGCTCCAAAAGATTGATACAAGGAGTTGAATAAACATCAAACCACTGGCCTGCAATCTGTTGTGAGTCAAATTATGTCCCAAATCTCTATCAGGAACACATCTGTAAATAGATATAAGTCTGGACAAGAAAGATAAGAAGGAACACCTTCTGAGGTGTTGGCTTTGTCAAGCCACCAAGCAAAGACAACATATAGGGAAAGAGGAAGGTGAATGGTAGAGTCTAAGGGATCCTGAGCAAGATTGACTGACATATATCTGCATGACCCCAAGGAATAAGGGACTCCATGAAAACCAAAGTCCCCAAAAGAGAGTGAACCTTTTGTGCAATGAGAGAAGGAGAGGTTATGGATTTGGAAACC